GCAATCCACTCCAGTATTCTTGCCTGGAGAATCCCCATGGACACAGGAGGCTGGCGGGCTACAGTCCATGCAGTCACAAAAGAATCGGACACAGCTGAGCGACTGGGCACAGCACAGAGACGCCACAATTCAGTCTGGTCCTGCACTTTAGAAATGCACAACTCTGTCATCCATTTATCTCATAAATCTCACCAGCGTCTGATTTAATAGACTAAAGTGCTAAATGGGAAATATTAACTGGAATAACATCTGATTTTTTTCATCTGAATATGGCATGTTTTACTGATCAACTAGGTGATTACACTTTGGAGCAGAAGGTGCTTTGTGAGCAGAGAATTAAAGAAGAAGAAAAAAAACCTATAAAAAACCAAAAATAAAATAAAATAATAACACAAATGAATCTGTATACAAAACAGACTCAGTGATATAGAAAAACAAACTTACGGTTACCAAAAGGGAAACTGGGGATGGGATAAATTAGGAGTATGGAATTAACTCCTAATTAGGATAAATTAGGAGTATGGCTCAGATTAGTAAAGAATCTACCTGCAATGTGGGAGACTTGGGTTCAGTCCCTGCATCGGGAAGATCCCCTAGAGAAGGGAATGGCAACCCACTGCAGCATTCTTGTCTGGAGAATCCCACAGACAGAGGAGCCTGGCAGGCCACAGTCCATGGGGTTGCAAAGAGTCGGACACGACTGAAGCAATTAACATACAACATATATGGAATTAACAGACACAAACTACTATACAAGTAACAAGGATTCCTATTTAGCACAGGGAATTATATTTAATACCTTGTAATAACTATCAAGGAAAATAACCTGAAATTATATATATATATATATACATATAACTGAATCACTTGCTGGACACCTGAAACTAACATAATATTGTACTAATAAATCAACTATACTTCAATCTTTAAAAAATCACCATTAGAATAAAAGGGTAATAATGGTACAGGAAAGATCCACTGGTAAAGGCTAAAATTAGTGAGCTGAAGTTGAAGCAGAAACAGGATATTTGCAAAGTCGCACAGTACTGCAGGGCTTCCCCAGTGGCCCAGCGGTAAAGACTCTGCCTGCCAGTGCAGGAGATGCAGGTTCAATTCCTAGGTCAGGAAGATCTCTTAGAGAAGGAAATGGCAACCCACTCTAGGGCTTCCCTGGTGGGTCAGATGGTAAAGAATCTGCCTACAAAGCAGGAGACCTGGGTTCAGTCCGTGGGTCAGGAAAATCCCTGGAGAAGGGAATGGCAACCCACTCCAGTATTCTTGCCTGGGAAATGTCATGAACAGAGGAACCTGGCGGCCTATAGTCCAAGGGGTCACAAGAGTCATAACTCAATGACTTAACAGCAACAATAACAACAAAGGAACTGTAAGTAGATAGGGTAGGTGGTCCCCAGAGAAAAAGAACCAGGCATGATTTTCTTGCTCTAAGAAGCCAGTGATTTAAGCCTGGCCACAATGCTTGCCCTTGAACAAATCTCAGTAATTCTGTAAGATAAACATTATGATCTGATATCCGACATCTTGGAGTTCTGTAGGAACTAAGGCCCCCCACCCCACTAAGGAGGAGGGTAACTACCTGTTGAGATGGAAGTCTGGTCAGAACTGAGGGAATGTCACCATGTTGACCTTTTCTGATCCTTCCGACTTCAATCATCAAGAGCTTCAGCTCTGGCAACCTTTATCCCAATTCCAGGCAGAAGTCTCTGGTCAAGCCCCTTCATGAACATGAGGTACCCTTGGCTTAAAACTTCCCCAGTTTTGCTGTTGAGGGAGACATTGCTTTGGAAAAGATCCCTGGTATTCTCCTTACTTGCTGCAAGTAATGAATCCTCCTTTTTCCCACACACACAAAAATAAAGTATTTGGAAGTAAAGAAACTTATGGGAAACATTAAGTTACAGCTGACTGATCCTTACTCTAAGGATCTCTATGTTTAAAGAATTAATTCTTTTAGAATCAAATAACCACCTTGGATCAGTGCCAACCAATTCTGACAAGACCAGCCATCTTCCCTTTTTTATATTCTGTATCAGCTATTAAACATTATGTACCCAAATTCCATCATGTGCAGGGTAAGCAGGTGAAGGTTTTCTCCCCACACCACCAAGCAATTCTCAGACAAGTGTGCTGCAATTCTGACGCTACCTACCTGGAGCAGCATCAGGTTCCACAGGTTAAGGACACAGTCCTACAGGACTCTCCCCCCAGCCCCGCTTCAGAGGACAGTCCCAAGTCCAGGGTGTGTCACCTGTGCTTCTGACAGACTGGCTGTGGATGGGAAGTTCCAACAACCTCTCACCCCCTTTTATTTGATTAATTTGCTGGAACAGGTCACAGAACTCAAAGAAACATTTTACTTACTAGATTACTGGTTTATTATAAAAGGATGTAACTCAGAAACAGCCAAATAGAAGAGAAGCAAAGGGCAAGGTAGGAGGAAGCAGGGTGCCACTCCCCCAGTACCTCCATGTCCTCACTAACCCAGAAGCTCTCTGAACCCCATCCTTCTGGGCTTTTCTCTCGGCTTCATTACATAGGCAAACTTGATTAAATAAATGGCCACTGGCAACTGTACAACCTCCAGCTCCTCCCTCCTCCCAAGAGGTGGGAGGGAGGGTTGGGTAGGATTGAAAGCTCCAACCCTCTAATCTCAAGATTGAGTCCCCTTAGGTTAGGCTGTGCCTCAATAGTGGAACAAAAGACATCTTTCTAGCCCTGTTCACTCAAGAAATTCCAGTAGTTTAGAAGTTCTGAGCCAGAAACTGGATGAGAACCAAACATATATTTCTCATTATAAATCACAGCATCACAGTTACCAACAGTATTTCTATCATTCAAACATTATTCTGTATTTTACTTTGCAAGCCTAAAGGCTATCTTTTTGCTTTTAATTTGTAGAACTCCAGATGTGATGCAAGGAAAGATTGAAGTCAGGAGGAGAAGAGAGCGACAGAGGACGAGAAGGTTGGATGGCATCACTGACTCAATGGACATGAATTTGAGTAAGCTACACGCGATGGACAGGGAAGCCTGGCGTGCTGCAGTCCACGGGGTCGCAAAGAGTTGGTCATGATTGAGCCATTGAACAACAAAGATATGATTTTAGAGTTACTTTAAACTCATTAGCTATACATTTACACAGTTTGGGAGAGATGTCTGCAGATAATTTCATATTTTATAAATTCTTTTGTATGCTCTCTGCAAGCAGTGATGCCTCCTGACCTGGCCCCAGACTCCGGGGTCGCAGTTTTACCACTGGAGCCCATAGCCCTATTCCTACCTATTATTACAAGGAGAAAAGGGCAAGAAAGCCAGAAACAATATAGTCAGTCATTGATTTTAAACCTCATTTTGATATGGAACTGTGAGAATTTAAGGAAAGCTTTTCTGACCTTCCTAGAAAAATATATATATACAGACATGTTGATACACCTTTTTGACTGTTCCTGGATTCCCCAACACTTGATCATAGGTCTCAGGATAAGCTGCCTTAAGGACATAACTACATACAATGTCAACTAATATAGTCTAGTGCTGGCTTGACATTAATTTGGAATCATGCCATCAGACTGACAGGATGCCAAAGGCAAGGCCATTAATCAAAGAACTGAACATTCTAATCCAAAGGTACTTCTTTACCAGAAACTATAAGTGATAAAACTACCATACTGGCCATCAACATCCATATTACAGCCATCTCCTGGGTATCTTAAAACGCAACAGATGAGGGAATTTCACTGCAAAGGGTGTCCGGTCCCTGATTGGGGAACTAAGATCCCACAAGTCACATGACATGGCCAAAAAAATTTTTTTGTAATAATAAATAAATAAATGCAATATGTTAGTAGCAGTAATACTAACAACTAGTGTTTATTGAGCATTTATTATATGCAGACACTGTTGTAAGAGCTTTATATGAATTCATTTAGTCTTTACAATGACCCTAAGAGATAAGCATATTTTCCTCCTTTTAAAAATGAGAAAACAGATGAAGCCTTCTAACTATACACATTGGAGACAAGGCATAATACAACCACATTAGACTGTTATTAACAGCATGTTTTCTTCCCTGAATACAATGTGACCTAGTAGTATATTTATCAAAATCTATTCAATGATAAACTACAATAAAATGGGGTCCACCAATGTCTGCTTTAAGAATACCCTGTTGACTAATAAATTACCTGGCAGGGGCTTTTATCATTTTAACGGAAACACACCTTAAACTCCCAAATGCTTGTACTTTTTTCAAACATGAAGGATTACAGATCATTTGTACTTTAAAGAGATAATATCAACACTGACATTCTTAGACCATGACAATCCCTCTTAAAACTTTCATTTTTGTACTCACTTCAAAAACCCTGAGTATTCCTAATAAAAGACATGAGTTGGAGCATCTGCTGGGAATACTTGCGGAAATTGCCATCCTCTCATTGGCGAGGCCTGCTTCCTGCCAGGGATCTGAAGTACCTTCACCACACACAGTTAATACACTGAATCCCCTCGGCCTTGTGGGAACGATGCCCCCAGGCAGTGAAGTTAGGGTGTGGTGAACTCACAGTCAAAAACTTTTTTTTTTTAACCTGCACAAGCACAGACCTGGCTAGAACTTTTCAAACACTCTTAATTAAAGCTGCAATTTTCACTCCACCCTCCTATTTCTCAGAGCATTTCAGACAAACTGGAATGTCACTGAGGCTGGAGGAAAACAGCAATATTCCGAACATTATTCTAAAATGTGAGTTGCTCATGCAATTGAAAATCCGTAAGTGACTGGGCTGTTAGTTGTGAAACGGTTGCTATACTTAAATGCTAATTATTGGCAATTCTATCATACTATTAGAACCTAGCTCAGGGCCACATGTACAAGGAAGGATAATAAAAATATCATCTAAAAACAATGAAGAAAAAATAAATAAAAAATAAAAAAAATAAAAACAATGAAGATACTGCTTCTATCCAAAGTCAAATGTGCTTACAGTGAGGTCTTTGCACTCTTTGGGTGCTTGGAGAGCCCGACTTTATTGTTTCCTGTAAAGCTTCATCAGAACCTTCCACAGCATCTTCAAGGCCTCGCTCAGAATCACTTGACTTTGATTTTCCTGCTTCATTTATATTGGACTTGTCAAGGTTTTCAGACATTCTCAATTAAGTTCATGCACTTTCCTAGAGGGAAAAAAAAAATGAACCAAAATGTTCTTGCTCTGACACTAACTGGCAGTGTGACTCTAAGCAAATGATTTAATCTCTTTGGGTTTCAGATTTCTCACCTGTAAAATAAATGGGCTTGCTAAGGTCTTATCCTTATCCCAATATAATATTCTACTTCCATGATTAAACAGATCACCTGTAAAATGACACTTGTAACTACCAAATTCATGGACCTACACTCCACAGAGTAACAAGTTCGAATATTTTGTCCCAATCTGAGTACCATGTCACGAGAACATGGCCTTAACACTATAAACTGCTTGCTTGTATTTTAATCAAACAGTAATTTAATTCTTAAATTCCTTCATTCCTGAGAGCTGAAAGGAAGACTCTGGAAATAATGCTTCTTCATCAGCGTTCAAAGTAAATATACACTGGACTGAGAAGCTGGTTCCCTGATTCTATTACGGATAAGACACCCGGGGATGACAAATGGAAGGCAGAATCTCATGAAGCATTTAAGAAAAATGTGTGGGGCAAATATTTTTATTAATCCCTTGCCAGTCAGCAGAAAAATATGGTGAGTAATGTAGGAAGTTGCAAACCACCATAATGTATGTGGTTGGGTGGGGTGTTAACCGTCTTAGGTGCTGATTTGTAGAGGACTAACACTTAACACGTTGGTTTGGGCTAGTTAATAAAGGCCTAGAACATTAACCTCTTATTTACTATAAATGTTTTTTATCAAGTTTTTCCCCCTAATTTTTTAATTGAGTTCTTTATTCCTAATGGGCTTCCTAGTAAAGGAAAAGAAAGACACAATGTTTTCTGCATTTATAATACTGAAAATAATTAGCATTTGTACTAGTAGCACTTGAATATCACAAAATATTCTCATAAGCACTAATTAGAGTTTATTACACACCTGGAAGGTAATCCAAGGATCAAAAGAAATGTTGACCATTTTCAGGAGGTTTGGCAGACTCCTTTCTGCACATTAGAAGAATCATTTGATATAATTATCTGAACATCAGATAAGCCCATTAAACAGAATGAAGTTACTGGAACTGACATTTTCAGGCCTGTATTATTAATAGGTTGCTTTAATGTCATTCCTTTTGAACCTTCCAGCATCCCACTCCAGACACCCATCTCCTCTGTCCTAAATCCTGTCTGGCTCTGGAAATGCTCTAAGAACCAAAAGGTAACATTACCAGCATCTCCTATGAGAAAGGACAAACAAAAACACTTCTAATTGTATCTTCTTCACATGTTGGGACCGAGCTGAGGATGAAGTAACTCGTTCTGTGCAATAAGGAGAAAAAGCAGGATTTCCAGGTCTTTAATATTCAGTTTAGTAAACTAACACATCCATGTAAGATTTGGTTCAAGACCTATCCCTTCCCAGGTCATTTGCCCAACCTCACCAGTGTTTGTTCCTTTCTCTGAACGCCTGTAGGGATGGATGTTAGACATCTGGCATTCATCATTGCCTTAAAGCCAACTCAAAATATGCTAATTTAAATAGGAATAGAACGATGAAAAGGCATGGTCAAGAGGAGGAGAGAGACATTCTTACAAGGAAATACAGTTAAACTTAAGCCTTAATGGCATTATGAAATCATTAAGCAGGAGAAACTAATTCTTCCCGAAAGGAGGCTGGGATAACCTTCCCAGAAAAGGTGATATTTGAGCCTGTCTTTTTAAAAAGAGTAGGATTTCACTCAATTAAAAAACATTTGGAGGGTATTCCCTAGCGGTCCAGTGGTTAAGGACTAGGCACTTTCACTGCAAGGGGCCTTTGTTGGGGAACTAAAAAGCCATGCGGGTGCAGCCAAAAAATAAATACATAAATCAAACATAAAACATCTGGAGGAAGAGCGAAGGTGAAAAGGGGGGCGTTTCACTTAAAGGGCACAAGCAAAGGCAAATGAAAATACGCAGAACAAGCAGCAGGTGACAAAGGAGCGATGAGTTGGGGTTAGATCTTAAAATTGCTAGTTCTCCTTAATAAAAAAAAAAAGAAGAAGAAGAAAGAAAAACAAAACTCTTCACCTACATTTTTAACTTCTTACAGGCCAGACCAACCACATCCCCCACATATGCTCCACACATATAGTATATCCCCCCAAAGAGATACCCACTAAGCATTTACTGATAGCTGTGTCATCTACTTGGGCTTCCCTGGTAGCTCAGATGGTAAAGCGTCTGTCTCCAATGCTACTTAAAGTCAGTTTATGCGGGAGGGCTGGGCGTTAGTCTCAGACATACCTGGGTTCCAATTCTGGCTCTTTACTAGCTGTGTTAACTTCCACTGTCTAACTAGCTGTGTAAAACGCAGCTACCTACCTCCTGGGTTTGGGGGAAGTGTCAACGACAGGGCGTACATAACGACAGCTGGTGCACAACCGGCTTCCAAAAATGGTAACTATAATTACAGGGCTATACAGGATGCAACGAGGAACCATTTAACTGCGTGCAGTGTGCTCATTCATTCAACAATCCCCAACTCCTGCCATGCCTAAAAAGGGAACCGAGGGTAGGAGGATCCTTGCACTTGCCGTGAACACTATCTGAGCCTCACGCCGAGCCCAAACTGCTCTCAAGTCTCCCCAGGAGAAAGGGTCTTTCAGCAACAGCAAGGAGCTCTGTCCAACGCCGGCGAGAAACCCTTTCTCCAGCACTCGGGGCCACGCACGCCCAGCGTCCGGATTCCGTTGTAAACAACTGTTTGGGCCGGAGAGGGAGTGGCCGGGCCGGGAGATAGCGAGGCGCGCCTGGAGGATGGCCTCGAGGGGTGGGACAAAGACCGCTCTAAGCCTCAACCTGCCGGCTGTGTCTGCCTCTTCCTCGCCTCCACCCGACATCACTGGGACCCGATCGACGGAAACGGCGAAGCAATGCCTGCATTCTCGACCTCGTTCTTCGCGTGCGGGCTCCGCAGGGCGGCCAGCCTGAGCATCCGCTTCCCTCACCTGCAGCGGAGCGGGCGTCTTCCCTCCTGCCGCTCGGCCGGGGATCTGGCGGCGGCCGCGGCGGAGGCGGGGAGGATGCGCGGCGGGCAGGGCCGGTTCAACCTCTGCCCCTCGGAGGCCGCATCCTTCGCTGCGCTACGAGCGGTCCTCCCCGCCGGGCTCGGGTGGGTAGCGGCCAGCGCGGCGGCTCCTCAATGTCGGGTAGCGGGAGGAAGCTCTCAGCCTGGAGGCGCCTGTCCCACATGGGGCGTCGCCATGTTCCCTTACGGGAAGGCGGGAGGCGCGGCCCGGTGCCAGTTGAGGGGCTCAGGGGGCTGTGACTCGGAGCCGGGAGGCCCCCGCCGCACAGAGGGCGGCGCCATGTTTCTGTACGGAAAGACCGGCTGCGGGGGAGGCGGCGCGGAGGCAGTCGAGGAAAGCGAAAGGATTGGCTGTTTCGGTGCAAAGCCTTCCCCGCCCTGGTTTTCAAATTTAAATATTACATCATGGTTTATAGCCACGGTATTTGTTCCCCTCCCCTCCTTTTGGTTGTTAAAAAAAAGTCTTGCCCACCACCTGGATGGCCAAGTTTCATTTTAACGGCACAGATTCGATTTGGTTTGAGTCACCTCTTTTATCCAAGCGGCCGCTGCACTTAGTCGATAGAAGAGCGAGACCTTCGCCCTGAAAAGATGGAAGGCAAGGAGGCAAAGACGTCTCATGAGGGTTCAACTCGGTTTAGAGAGCTCAGAAACATAGCATTCAGCATTTTATGTGCAATCTGTATTCCCGAAAGGAAACATAGCGTGTTACGACAAGCTTGTTCTGAAGCCTCCTTCCCCTTTGTCCCAGGTACCCGGGTCGTGGCTGTCCTTAACAGTTGCTGATCCAAGAAAACCATGATTTTCTCAGCCTGTATAATAAGACAGCAAACTAAACGAATAGAAATAGTTGTGGGGGGCCTAATCTTCAAAAGTAAAAGCTCCGTAACTTTTATCTGTTCTTTTGTAAAATGCTTTAAAACTGAACATCAAACATGTATGCCTTAAAATGAAGCCTCCTACCTGCAGCCTATAAACTTGTTAAATAACTAGAACAAAACAAGATGGAGTGGAATTAGGAGTTGCTTTCAAAGGCCACTTCTAAATAGATCACACGTGGGCAGTTATTCCTAAAGTATTGAAGGCTGTATGCAATATTTCAACACCCTCAAGCCATTCATTAACTAGCATATTAAAATAAGAATTTTTCCTGAAACACACAGTTCTCAGAAGAGGATTCACTTTGAGGGGGAGGGAGGTGCCATAAGATATTAACTGGAACTAACATTTAGGAAGAAAACATTCAGTTCTCACTTCAGAGTCTAGAATATACTTTTTGTTGTTCAGTTGCTAATATGACTCTTTATGACCCCTTGGACGGCAGCATGCCAGGCCTCTCTGTCCTCCACTATCTCCCAGAGTTTGCTCAACTCGGGTCCATTAGTCACTAATGCTATATAACCATCGCATTCTCTGCCACTCCTCCTCCTTTTGCCTTCAATTTTCCCCAGCATCAGGGTCTTTTCCAGTGAGTCAGCTCTTTGCATCAGGTGGCCAAAGTATTGGAGCTTCAGCATCAGTCTTTCCAATATACCACAGTCTCCAGATTAGTTGTTCCCAACTCTGACCTCACCTTAGAATCTCCTGGGGTTGAGGGGTGGGATGGATGTTTTCTAAAGCTATCATCTGAAACACAGAGGGATGGCATGGGTGGTGATGCCAGGCAAGAATTCTTAAGCTTCCCAGGTGATTCTAAGAGGCAGCCAGGCTAAAACCACCTTCCTAGAGATGTCCCCCACCTCCAGGTCCCCTACCTTCCTTGAAGCATTCCGTCCATGTGTCCTCAGTCAAACTTCAGTCGTGTTCAACTCTTTGTGACCCCATGGACTGTAGCCCGCCAGGCTCCTCTGTCCGTGGGCTTCTCCCGGCACAAATACTGGAGTGGGTTGCCATGCCCTTCTTCATTAGTATTAACAATTTTCTCATGTGGAGAAGATGCTGCAACACCATAGATTTGACTTGGATGGCTTCTCATCTTTTGCTATATTTTGAATTGTTTCCTTTAAATATTAAAAAACATTAACACATGTTCCAGTTTGCTTTTTGGCTACACGAACTGGAAACTCAAATCACCTCAAGGTAGAGAGAGTTCACTGCCAGGTTACCTGGTTTGGCCGCCGCTCTGGTGGTTGGTACTATTCCATCATCTCCCCAGGACACAGGATCTCTCACAATCACTTCCTGCTTCTTGCTGCATTCAGCTTCACTCATCTCTCTACACTACACACTAGCTTCTTTTTCAGTCACTGCTCCTTCATAAAGTAATTTCTCTATTTAGAACTTGATCAGCCAAGCTGATTTTTTTCCATCGTCTCATTAGCCTCTGGGTAGTCTGGATCAGGGCTTAAAAGTGAAAGTCGCTCAGTCATGTCCAAGTCTTTCTGACCCCATGGACTATACAATCCGTGGAATTCTCCAGGCCAGAATACTGGAATGGGTAGCCTATCCCTTCTCCAGGGGATCTTCCCAACCCAGGGATCAAACCCAGGTCTCCCACATTGCAGGTGGATTCTTTACCAGCTGAGCCACCAGGGAAGCCCTTCAGATCAGGGCTCAGCCATGGGCTACTGGGCATTCAGGGAGCACCAGACCTATAGTTTAAAACTCTGACAGTGCTTCCCATAAACATGACCAATTTTCTTAAAACTTTACGCTTATGAAGTTTGAGGTAAACTCTGGTTTTACTAGATTTTCCATGAAATTAACATTGTATTAGAATGCTTTTTTTCCTAGGACCATGAATATAACTAGAAAGTTCTGCGTTCCCCTGAAGGAGAGGTGTTAGTTTTGTTGCCAAATAATGATGTTTATTCCATTATGGGCAAAATAAAGGTTGCAAATCAGGAAGTACACACACTGTTGCTCTGTCAGCTATGGTCTCACCACACTTGCAGTAGTTTGTTTCTAAAAACTTCCTCACACTTAAATCATGAACTGTCTTCTCTTTCACTTCACTGTAAACAGCTGCCTTCTTTTCCTGCCTATGCAACAAAGCCAAATACACAACACAAAAGAACCCACCTGACGTAACTAGTCCTTACTCTATTAGAATTATATTACGTACTACAGATGAGTCCTCAAATTTTTCCTTTTTAAAGACTAGCCAGTATATCTTTGAAAACAAAAGATTGACAGGCTAGCATATTGGTACATCGTTTTAGTTTCCTACCCTTCATTAAAAGTCTGAATTTAAAATTCAGTCTCATTTTAATCTTTTGGTTTTATTATTGTAAAAACGCATAATTTAAAATTGTATTATACAAATTACAAGTATTATATTGCATGCCTATTTACCAAGTATACTGTGACAGTGCAGTTGTTCCAAAATCATCATTAACTTGAATAAAAAGTTGTTGAGATGTTAGTTCTAATGACTAATTTACAAGGAATGAAGGACACAGAGGAATATGATACAGGAGAGTACAGGCTTGCAATCAGCTAAATCCAGATTGTGGGAAACTCAAGAACAGCCGACCAGGTTTACTGAATAACAGAGAAAAGAAGAAGGGAGGAGAGACAGAGAGAAAAACCTATAAAGATTTAAGAAGCACATTAACCAACTGCAATGTATGAACTCTGTTTGGATCCCTACTTGAATGTCACAGTCATTACAGATCAGAAAATGTGAACACTGACTGCATTTTTGAAGATATTAAGGAATTGTGACTGTGTGTGTGTGTAATAATGATACTGGGGTTATGTTTTTAATGTCCTTATCTTCTAGTCATACATACTGAAATTTTGTTATTTTTTTTCTGAAATTTTATAGATGAAGTGATAGGATGTATTAAATATGCTGAGGTGGGAGCCCAGAATAGATTAAATAAGACTCGCCATGAGTTGACAACTGTTGCAACTGGATGATGAAATCACGAAGGGCTCATTATTCTATTCTCCCCATATTTATGTATGTTTGAAATTATCCACAATAAGCTTTAAAAGATGCTGAAGTTGTCAAAAGCATTGGGACAGTTCAATTTCTGACTTGTCTACAATTTATGGTAACTGACAAATTCACTTTAGCATAGCCTAAATTTCTATCTTGTATCTTCAAGAAATATACCTTTCAAGGTACAAACCACACTCCTATTAACTTGTAACAGACTTTCTTACTGTTTAATACTCTTTTTTATAAACACCACAATGTCCCATCATTTAAATTCCTAGGATGTTCTATAAAGTATTGTGCACAATAATTATAAATCAACTCTCCTGAGAGAGGCCAATACTTAACAGCAATACACCATCTAATACTCAGTTTCACAAAAGATTATACAAAAAATGTTTTATTATGTACAGTTTCATACTTAGAGGAACATCTAATATTACAATATGATTGAATCTTTAGGATACATAATTTATTCTTAAAATACACAAGTTATATACAGACACTGGAAACTCAGTCCCCAAAATACTCAATAAAGACGTCTGGGTGACACTTATAGAATTGACCTAACAATTTTTTCTTCTCTTTGGTGGAAAGTTTTGAATCCTCATCAATATTTTTTAGTAAATTCAATAGCTCATCCTTGGTTGTCTTCCTTGTACGGTCAGAATAATCACTTCGATCAATTCTCTGGCAATAAATGTATCCTTAAAGTTTAAAAGTAAAAAGTTCAGTTAATGAATCTAGTCCTCAGATTTAACAAGAAAAAAACCACTTTTACACTTATATATATATATATATATTTTTACCCCCA